TCCTCAGAGAAAACCCAGTCAAAACCATCCGCTCCAACAGACGAAGAACAACGAACTAACACTGTTAACTGGCGAGAACAGAAAAATTAGTTTTAGAGGGTAAGGTGGGAAAGTAAACAACGTGGCTTTCTCAGACTTGCTCTTCGGCCAGCTGTGCACTTATCAGCAAAAAAACCTTGAAGCTGCAAAAGGCAGACTTCACCTTCTGTCTTAAAAATCACTTCACTGAGGCTATGAAACACATTCACAACTTTGCACAAATGTATTAATAATGAAATGAATAGTACACAATATTAATCATTAAATCAATTAAGAAAATGATAAAACCATTATTAATACCAGTACTAAGAAAAAACATTAAAGCACATTTCAACTCTTTTTTCTTCACAGTGTTATACTTCTGGATAAAAGAGAGATGCAAAGATTAATTCAATAACTTTGATTATATTGATTATAATTCAAATAGAAGATTAAATGAGATAATATATATATAGGACTTTGTCCTATTCACTTAAAGAAAATAAAAACACTTTAAAATGATTTTCTTCTTATAAGTGTAAAAAATAAAATCAAAGACAAAGAAAAAACAATAGAAAAGTTTTTTTTTCACCAGGGTTACCTCTACACACACATCCTTGTATTTGCATCAAACTGAGGACATTGTATTGACTTCCATTCTTTTTTGTAACTGTATTTATGCCTAACCCAGACATTTTCCTTAAAATTAACCATTACTGGCCTATAGTTAACCCTAATCTGAACCAAATCCTAATTCACTCCATACCTCTAAACCTAACTATTGAAGCACAGCAGAGCTGCAAATAAAGTGAGGACATTAAAGAGGTCCTCAATTTACATCAAAGACCTCACTTTGATAGTAACTATGTTGCAAATGGTCCTCACTCTGTAGTGAAAACAAGTACGTTTACACACACAGGTTTGTTTTTATATCCTTGTGGGCCCATCCATTGACTTCCATTCATTTTTTTGGTAATTTTATATTCTAACCCTGACCATTTACCCTAAAAGTAACCTCACAGGTACCTACCTGACCCTAAAACTAACCTAAACTCAATTCACACCTTGGTCCTAAACCAAACCTCTCCACCCAAAATCAGCCTCTGAAGTTGTGGGGCCCTGGCTTTGGGCCCCACAAGGAGCATCCAGTCCCCATGAGGCTGAATTTTCCTTAAAACTATAGGAAAAACAAGGCCACACATTCACACACATGTTTACACACACATTCACACACATGTTTACACACACATTCACACACGTTTACACACATTTACACACACACACACACACGTTTACACACACACGTTCACACACACATTCACACAGCACTCTTCTAGATCTTTCTGCAAAGTTAATACAGGTAAATCAATCTCTAATCAGTGCTTTAAATCACACTCATACATTGATGGGATACACATCAGAGGCAGTGGTGGTTCAGTGTCTTGCCCAGGGACACTTCAACAACAGTGGAATTGAACTGCCAGCTCTCTGATTGGAGGATGACTCCCCCTAACCCCTCAGCCACAGCCGCCCTTTGTGGGATACAGTATGTGGGTTCCATGTGATTTCTGAAGAGAAGACATAAAGACGAACTGGTCTGTGTGGCCACTTCACAGAACTGATTAATGATTAAGAGCTCTTTAAGTTGCACTTGTATCTAAGAAATGTTCCCCCAGAAAACCCTGATCTGAGCTCAGTCATTAAAGATCAGATCAGAATATCTTGACTTTCTGTCTCCTCTCACTTCAGTGTTGTACGAGATCTACAAGTCAGACTACAAAGCTCTGTCTCTGATGCTCCCAGTGGACTCGTCCGTACAGGAAGTGATGTCAGCAATAGTCCAACCTGGTGGAGATCATGTCCTGGTCAAAATGAACTCCAGCGGAGGTGGGACTCGTTTTCTCAGTTTTCTAATGAACAAAGCCAATATTTCGCAGTTTAATCACTGGTTTTGTCACTTAGTAAAGTATTTTGCTTATTTAATTGATTTTTTATTTGAATTGTTTTTGCAAATGAACAGAAAGAGCTCAGTTAAAGCTGGATGCATCATCAGTCTACACTGCCCTGGGTCTCAACGAGAGACTATTTATCTGCACGAGCAGTGAAGTGGAACAACTGGTGAGAAATAAGTGCTTTCACCTTTCATACATTATTTTTTTATTTAACAAAAGGACTATCATGGACCACTGTTATCTTTTTCTCATGAAGTTTTTCTCTGTGATTCTGTTATTCTGCCAGAGGCCCCTGAAGGAGCAGCAGGGCCCCGAGCAGGGGACAGCTGACCTCATTGAGCAGATGAGCTCTAAAGACATTGGCATTGAGCTCACAAACTATGACTGGGAATTGTTCACTGCCATGCATGAGGTAAATCTTTGTAAACGAGCAGACAAAAGAGGACTGTGTGTATAATAGACAACCTCACCAAGGCTTAGTTGTCTGCAGAACTGAAAATCAGACAAGAGACTGGATATCACATCTCAGCATTTTTCCATTTTTTTGGCATCAGATTACCTTTAGTACATTGTGTCACCTGTAAAAGTTGTTCTTATCTGCGACTTTGAAACTCCTCTTTCTGTTTGGGTTTGAGTTATTGTTCCCTACACTCCCCAGGTGGAGCTCGTCTACTACATCTTCGGGCGTCACAAATTCCCCGGTGCCATCACAGCGAACCTGGAGCGGTTTGTTCGTCACTTTAATGAGGTTCAATACTGGGTGGTGACAGAGCTGTGTCTCTGCGAGGACCTGGTGAAACGGGCCGTTCTGCTCAAGAAGTTCATCAAGATCGCTTCAGTGTAAGAGCTCGACATAAGAATCATGACCGATTGTTTTGGAGTTAGTCGTGTCTTAATGAGAAACTATCCCAGAATTCTCATCTGTACTTTGAATTTACACTTTAAACATCATTGAACTTTTATTACATTATGAAGTAAAGCCAGTTKATTTAGATTAACTTTTGTTTTAGCGCCACCAGCAGGTCAAAGTGTTTATAAAATAAAATGGTCTGGCGCATTTAAGTGACATTTATGTCCAAATATATGTTTTCAGGCCATTATCACTTTGAAATTTGTCAGATGTACTTTCAACAAGGTTCAATGGGGTTTATAGGTACATTTGTAATTTTACCAAGTATTTTTTTAAATCGTTTTATTTTGTTACATTTAAAACTTAAAAATAATAATTTATTTCTTTATTTTACATTGTGAAGAAGTAGAAATGATACTTTTACTTTACAATTTAACATCTAGTTACCCGTAACAAAATTAAATATGCCAGAACTTATAATGAAAAAAGTTTTTTATGTGACTTAAGAATTTTTASAGTGTTGAATTTACTCAACCAAGTCATGTCAACTGGTGCCACTAAACCTAGTAAATATGAAGCTGTACACTTTTTTTTCATTAAAATAAACATTTTTTCTTTAAAAAAATGTATTTATGTATATTGCTCAGTTTACTCAACTTGGTTTAGTGGAAGGAGTTTGRTTAAGTAAATTCAACAGTTTATTTCTCAGAGAGTGTGTAAACATACTTTTACTTTCCCAGTTTTTGTGAAAAGTTTTATGACTATTACTTAAGTGCTTTTTTTATTTTCACCAGTCATTTTCTGTTAAGTTATTTTTACTTTTACTTAGTTATTGTTTTCAAGTACTCTATAGACCTCTGGTAGTAACACTGTTGTAGTGAAGGAGGATCTGCAGTGGACTGACAGAGAAGAATGCTGCACTGTTAAAAAAAATGTGAAAATTTTATAGTAAATTACTGGCAGCAGCGTTCAGCTAGGTACATTAATCTTTACAGTAACTACACTGTAATTCTTACAGATTCTGTGATTTTATTACAATTTTAGTATAATAAAATTACAGTTACCCTGTGATAGAATTACAGTAAAATCTATTTAATTTTAAAGTAGTTGGTGTGCAGGGAAACAACATGACAGTGGGCCAAGAGAACCATGGACAGGCTACCCCTAAATTTATTATTTAAAGTATTATTATTTATGTCAAAGTATTTATCTTTAATTAGTATTTAAGTATTTATCCCTACTTTTATTGTGCCAGCACAAAGTCATTGTTTTACATTTATACAGAATGCAGACTGAACACAAGGAACTCAAAATATATACAGACATATATTATAAAACAGACAACAAAAAGGCTGTTGTAGCATCCGACTTAAAAAGAAACCAAGGCTCAAGGAAACACATGGTGTGCCTGACAGGTTAAGTGTGTTGAAGCCAACAAGAAGATGAGAAACAGCTGAGGTAAAGGAGGGTGCAGGTGGGAGTGGGCGTGGCAGGACTAAGGAGCAAAGACTAGCTGGGACAAAATACTGTGGCTGAAACACAGGAAGCCTAAATTAAACTCAACACCACCAGAACAAACCTGAAAATAAACTTAAAACAGAAATACAGGAGAACTTGTGTGAGTTCTTCAAGACAATAACTTAACAGAGCCCTCAGCGACGACGCTGCATCTGAGTAGGCTTCTGATCATTTTTCTTTTTTTTATGGACAAGAAACCATTCCTCACAAAGACAAAAAAGCATAAAAAGTCTTTAAAATGTTGGATTTAAAAGCTTACAAAGAAGCAGATCTAAAAAGAGACAGCAGCTGCAGTGGACAGTCCTCAGTTTGTGTTTGAGTCTGCCCTCTAGTGGCCTTGATGAGTCATGACATGTCTAGAAACAAAATAAGTCCTTGGGTTGTGGCTTCTTTAGATAATTTCAGAAAAAAACATTCCTCAGTTCAAAAATGAATATTTTCTGTGCAGCTGGACACAACACTCTTCAGTGCTCAATACTGTTAAATCATTCAGTGAGTTTCAATAATATCTCAGAGTATAAAGACAAAAAACTGTTGGATCAGCGTGGGTGACCAATGTGAAGGTTTCAATGATGCAGAGGTGTATAATAATTTAATAAATATCTACTATCAACAAGGTAAATTACAGTATGTATTATCATTGCAATACAAATGCACACATATTTCTTGCAAAGATTCCTTATTAAAAATACATTTAGGCTTTTTGAGTTAAATTCTACATTTTTGTATATTTTTGAAATGTAATGTTGGTCGATGAATGCACCTAAAATTATATCCTTTGTACTTGTGTCTGAAATAAAAAAAAGGTTCAAATGAAATCAACCACAGTGACTTTAGAGCTCAGACATATTACCATACTTCTCTTCTCACACAGCTCTAGTGTTACTTTTAGTCTTTAGTTCCTGTACTCAGTCAGATATTTGTCCATTCACACTCGTGTCTTCTTTCTGTTTCAGGTTAAAGGATCAGAAGAATCTCAATTTATTTTTTGCTGTGATGTTTGGCTTAGGCAACAGTGCAGTGCAGAGGCTTTACAAAACCTGGGAGGTGAGTTTCCAGCTCTTACAATGACACAGAATCACATTGCAATAGTTTTACAAGGAGTTTTGAAATGACTGGTGAAATAATTCACCTGTATTCTGCAGAGAATACCGAGCAAGACAAAAAGGATCTACTGCACTTATGAAAGACTGATGGTAAGCAACACTGTGATTTTCTTTTTCAGTATTAGTGTCTTGATTTTCATCTCACTGTCAAAGGTCTGTTGTGTCATAAAACATTTTTATTTTGCTGTTTTCTCTTGGTTTTAGGATCCTTCACGCAACCACAGGGCCTACAGACTGGCTGTCACTAAACTCAGTCCTCCCTACATCCCCTTCATGCCTCTGCTACTGAAAGGTAAAAAAAACACCTGCAGTCAGGCTGCCGTGAATCCTAGAAGCTTCTTTGACTGAAACCAAGAAAACTCATTGTGTCTTGTTGACACCTAGACATGACATTCATCCACGAGGGCAACCCAAACTGTCTGGACAAATTGGTCAATTTTGAGAAAATGGTATAGATTAATTCATTCATTCATTGATTTATAGTCACTTTGTAATCTTACTCTGCGTGTTTGCTGATATTGTTCTACTGTAAGTAAGAACATGACATGAATTGTTTTTTTTAAATGTATTTCCTGTTTTCATAGCGAATGCTTGCAAAGACGGTGAAAATTGTACGAGGATGCAGAAGCCAACCTTACGGTAAGTAAGAACTGTCAGACAACAAACAGTCGTAGATGACGTCAGGCAGGAGTTCTCACGGATTACGATGTTTACAGATGTCAGTGTGAGCTGGAGTGAGAGTAAGGAGAGGATGGAAGAGAGCCTGGAGAGGTAGAGGAGGGCTCTGGAGAGAAAAGAGACAGAATCTGTTTGTGAATGAGAGGGAGACAGGTGGAACGGCGAAGCTGCAAGAGGAAGTACTGAAGAAAGATTAGTTTAAGTACGTGGGGTCAACCATCCAAAGGAAAAGAGTTCAGGCAAGGATGGAGGTTAGCTTCACGGTTCGCTATGTTTTCGATACAAAAAAGAGAAATGTCCATGTCCTTCTTAACTTGTAATTKAATGAAATTAATTATGAACATTTGTTTAACCTCAAAAGTACAGTTTTTAAATTTAAATGTTGCTGAAACAGAATGTTTCTCAGTGAATCTGTGCTCGACAATGCAGCCTAGGTGGAGTTGTCGAAGTCGAACACAGATCCACTGAGCTTTCAACACAGAGCATCTTCAGAAGACAAGTTGATAAAATCAATTTTTAAAATCTGTATTGTTCCATACGTAGTGCGTATTAAACCTAAAGCACTGTATTGAACAGTTCGATACAGATACATGTTTTGATGCACCTCTAATGGAGACGAGTTTTAGGGGTGATTTGTGACGGAAAGAAAGCTGCAAGAGGGAAATGCAAGGTTTATARAATGTTATTAAGACTTGCTATGATGTAAAGCTTGAAAACTGTGGCAATGACAGCTTATGGAGTGGCCTGAGAAGTGCATTTTAAAATCCTTTTGGTCACATTTTAACAATAGAATGTCCACATTAAATCAAAAACATTAGAAACTACAGTAAAAACAGACAGACCATACTGGAAAGTTCAAGGAAATATGTGATGTATTTTGAGAAGTGCAAATTTTTCTTAAAGCAAAGCTTGAATTAACTTTTTCTGAGACACCAACTTACTTCTGAAAACTGCTGATCCTGATTTCTGAGGGTTTTGTGATAACTTAATGTGTTCATTTTTAGAGTTTAAAGCCATGAACATCAGCTCTCATTGTCTCATTTCCTAAAGCACTGGTGTTCAATCCTGGTCCTTGAAGGCCACTATCCCGCATATTTTAGAGACTTTTTTGCTCCAACACACTTGGCCTAAAGGAATGGGTGATAGCAGGCTTCTGCAATGAAAGCAATGTATCAGGTACATTGCAGCAGGGAAAAAAGTAAAATATACAGGATAGTGATGCATCTCAGTAATGCAGGTTAAAAATAATGTAAGTAGGTCTTCTGGATGGGTTCTTTAATGAAACGTTTCATCTCTCATCCAAGAGACTTCTTCAGTCTGAGGAGTTTCAGGTGAACTCAGCCTTATAAGCACTGCCTCCACATGGTGGACAAACAGGTTGGTCACATGCAAAAGAGGACTATCAGCCAAACAATATATTGTTAATGCTCTGATTGCCTATTGTTCATAGAGGATCATGTGCACCAACCACCTGACTATGGTTGGGACCCTGATTATCACCTATTGTTCACAGGGGACCACACAGTTAGTGCACATGATCCTGTATGAACAATAGGTGATGATCAGGGCTTTAAAGGGATCCACGATTAGTTGTAACATTAGACTTTATTTGATAAACATATATTTTAACTGTAAAATAAAGACTGTAAAAATACTGTAGGCTGTTTAGTTTTGTAAATTTTTAAAAATATATATTTTAACACGGATGGGGCCATTTTATTTACATGCAAAGCATTCTGGGTAAATGATGACGTGGATAGGTCCTCAGTGTGAGGCTGCTAGCGAGCTATATCCACCCTGAAGGTTAATCTTGGACAATATCTGATGATCGACTCTTTTAAATGAAAMCAGAGAGCGTTGACAGAGAGGAGAAGGTAGAAATGACTCAGCCTGGAACTGAAAATATGGAWGGAGGACAACAGAGCTGCTTCATGGAAGAAGAACCTCAGCTTAGCTTGTTAGCATTTGCGCTAGCGCATTAATTTTTTTATGCTGGATAGTGGCTCTCAAGGACCAGGACTAAACAGCTCCTGGCCTAAAGACTTTGGCCTTTAGGCCAAACAAAATTACTAAAATAAAAAAGTTTATAATATCAAATGATTGCACATGCATGCTGCTTGAAAATGAACGTCACACTAGCATAATCTTTTTCTCTGCAGTGCCTTCATCTCCACAAAGGGGCCTAGCTGATCGGATATTCCTGGAAGGTCCTACACGTTTATCTACGAGTGAGTTGTAGTATCATTCACTGAACGATTTAAAGTTTCTTCAATTTTTTTTTTTTTTTTTTTTTTGTGTAGCTATAGCTCTACTTTGCCTTTGCCAACATTTCAATGCAGTCAAACATGATTTCCTCCTCTTCTCCGCCAGGCTCAGAACATGCTTTCCCTCTGCGCACTCCCAGCAACATCCGTCACTACATCCAGAACCTAAAGGTGATTGACAACCAGAGGAAGCTCACACAGCTATCAAGATCCATGGAGTGCTGAGAYATTGGCCTTCAGAGGGAGAAAGACTGAAAACAGTCTGCAGCACAGAACACGTTACAGCAGGAGGAACTAAAGCTTCACGCTCTTGGAGAGAAATGCTCCAGGAGATACATGGATGCTTCCTGCAATTCAGTGATGTTGGACTAAAAGTTTTTGCACTGCACAGCATTGAGAGTGTAACTGTGCAGCATGAACAGTAATAACGTCTTGACTCTGTAAACGGGACCGCCAGTACTTTTATCCAGCAAGCGTTACATAACCTTAAAAAGGCCATGTAACACTATGAACAAAGAACTGCACACTCTGGTGTCGTTGTTCTTTTTATGAGACATTTTTATGCCGACACATCTGTGCCACAAATATTTTTTTAGCTTATTGCGCACCAGTGTTTTTCCCTTCTAAAGTAATATATTGTATCAAAATTTAACTGACATGCACATAATTTCATACTATGTTGTTTTCTAAATAAATTATTTTCCCATCGATGTACATTCAATGAGACCACACGAGTTTGTAAAAAGGGAAATATTTTATTTAAAGTACAAACAATAGCAGGCAACACTTTTTTTTAATATTCAAAGAGCTGCCACCCACCTGGCACGACAAGCCCCCCCCCCCCCGCCCCAATATGGGGTGAGAAATTTCACAACAAAGCAGTTAAAAATTCTCTCCTCGTCACAAATATGTACAGCATCTTTTTAAAAGTGGGCAAAGACGTGTTAAAATAATAAGAACAAATATTTACCAGTGCCTTTGCCTGATGGAACCATGTAGGGAAATGTCCCTGACTTTATAAATAATGAGCTGACATCATGTTAAGGAAGGAATTTTCATGCAGAGAATAAGCGTGATAAAGGATTTGAGTCCATAAACTAATGGGGGATTTGTAGACTGTGAGAAAACAAATCACTCTCTGATCAGAGGGCAATAAACTAAGCTGGTAAAGTAAAAAAAAATATGCATTACATATGTGAAGTGATTGTATTTGAACAGCTGCAACAACAGAGAATGTCAATGTAAGCATAAACTGAGCTCAGCTCAGAGGCGCTGATGCAGCCTCTTTCTCTGTCGTCAAGCTGTGCTTTAAAAAAAAACGATATAATGAAGGGAGTTCAGTCCAGTGAAGTGATGAGTGCATGTGAAGTGGGAAAAAAAATCTGTTTCACTTTCACTCTGCCAGTAGTGAAGTGAGTTAACATGCAAAGCCAGAAACCTGCAGGATGGACAGACTAACAGCTAAACTCCAGGTTCCAAAACACGCAAGGACGTCTTTATAAACGGTTACAGTGCAGGCAATTTCTCACGAGGTCATTTGCAAACTTGTGCTAATAAAGCTACTAGCTTTAGCACTTTTGGTGCAGACTGTGGTCACTTCCAGCAGTATTTTCCATTTTATGTCTGTCAAAATTATTGTGTAATGCAAAACCGATTGAAAGGGTTATAATATGTTGGTGACATTAATCGCGAGGACATCTTCAAAACTGAAGTTATGTTAAGATAGCAAAATCCACTCTTGACTATATTGTAATAATGACTTGTCCGAGTTAGGGCCACACCACAAAAGTATTTTTTATTACAAAAAAAGTCTTAATATTATGACATTAAAGTTGTCACATTATGAGAATAAAGTCATTCTATTACGAGAACCTTTCCATGAAAGAGCAACCACTGCATTCAACTGAGAAATGCTGAACAACTTGTGAAGTTGTTCTTATCAGTTAAAAGAAATGTTTAATCTTTTAGCATATTAGCATCAGATTATCAGAAGCAGGACTTTGAAACGATTGAAACGACTATATGATAAACAGAAACCGTGTAATTAATGGCTGTATTGTCAGTTGTCACTTAATTTGGATGAAAGCGCGTTACACTAACAGTGACCCAAAATTCATTGCAGACTACTTCATAAACACAGAGACATCCATGACTATCCACTGTGAGGAAAATGGGTAAAAAACTCAAGAACAGAAAACGGATGTTATGTAAGATTGACTTTTTTCTCATAATATTATGACTTTTATATCATAATATTATGACTTTATTCTCATCATTTTTAAAAAAGGATAATCTTGTTTTGTGTCCCTAATACTCTGTCGTATGAGTGAACCCACTTCCAAAGTGGATTGCGAAGTGGACTTCCTAAAACAACCCCACCCTTGGAAATGTCATATCAGCTCTTGCTAAATCAGTTTGTCATTATTTCAGTTATGATACTCCTAGCTGTAGTGACCCTGGCTCTACAGGAAGATCTACTGCTAAATACTGCTGCTACTATTTGTGATGGCAACCAATCAGAATTATTTTTGCAATACCAATGTATTTGCAAACTGATTACACTGTAAAGGTTTATATCACTATGAAACACGTGAGAATTTAGTTGTTTTAGAATAGCAGCAACCCGTTTTGGTCTTGGCTGCAATTTACCGTTATTTAACCAGGCAAATCCCATAGAGATGAAATATCTCTTTTTCAAGGGAGGTCTGGGCATTCAAAGCAGGCTTCGCTCACCAGGTCCCCCCCTGCAAATGAGATCATGATCGCCATAGGGATTTAATCAGGTTAAATAAAATGAATTTATTTAAATTAAATCAGTCCTGTTCAAATTAAACTAATCTCTACAACAGGTACAATGGTATTTGTTTGAGACAGAACCAAACATCAAAATGGCTGAACTATTCCTTTAAGTCTGCATTGCATACTTTAACACATACAGTTCTGGTTTACCACAAAGTAATCACAAACAAAACAGAATAAAAAGCACATACATAAAGAAAAAAAAAGAGTGAATATAAATATTGCACTTTCAAACGTGTTGTTCCCAGTGCCTAGTTGTTTACCCTTTTGTTAGAGGTATTTAAAACTTTTGTGTTCAATAGTAATCCAGAACTGTAACCTCAAATATGTTAAGCTACAAAGGACTAGGCAATGGGAAATGGATTACACACACACACACACACACACACACACACACACACACACACACACACACACAC